TGTCTCAACTCTCTCTGTCTCTCTCTCTCTGTGTCTCTCTCTCTGTGTGTCTCAACTCTCTCTCTCTCTCACTATGTCTCTCTCTGTCTCTCTCTGTGTGTCTCTCTCTCTGTCTCTCTCTGTGTGTCTCACTCTCTCTCTCTGTCTCTCTCTGTGTGTCTCAACTCTCTCTGTCTCTCTCTGTGTGTGTCTCTCTCTCTGTCTCTCTCTGTGTGTCTCACTCTCTCTGTCTCTCTGTGTCTCTCTCTCTGTCTCTCTCTGTCTCTCTCTGTGTGTCTCAACTCTCTCTCTGTCTCTCTCTGTGTGTCTCTCTCTGTCTCTCTCTGTGTGTCTCAACTCTCTCTGTCTCTCTCTACGAGAGAGAGAGAGTCAACCCCGTCGCGTCGGTGGCGCGTTCCGAGTCTCCACAATTAACGCTGCTGTCAGGGCTATAAATAACTCAGTACCTCGAGCCCTGTATAGACATCGCGTGAATAGATCAAGCGTGCGTGGAGAGGGCGCGCTATTATCGGCAAGCAGAAAAGTACGAACAAAAGGCAAAGATAGCCCGTGTAGCCTTCAACAGGCTGTTGGGGCAAGTCTTGTTAGCGAGCAGCAACTACGGGGACCGGCCACGGGACGCCAGAGACCAGGTTGGTGGCACAACAACATCACCACCACCACCACGCCCGGCCGCCTTTGTCTTCACAGCGCCGGTGCTTAAGGCTGAGTGGACCTACACGAGGCCCACATAATCGGTTCAGACGTTCGCTGTCACCCGAGCGGGAATGGAACTCGACGAGTGGCCGGGTTCGGAGCGCGGCGCGCTAAACCACTGCGCCACCGCTCCCCGTAGAGTTGACAAAGGTTCCCGTGTAGGCCGAGCAGCGAGTTGGGGCAAGGGCTGTCAGCGAGCGCCTGCATGAAGGCCGGCGCGGCACACGAAGGGCCGGGTGACCGGCGACACGCCACGGCCGCCTTTGTCTCCCCCGTGGCGACGTTTACGCACCGCGCCAGGTGCTCGTTTTAAGGCCGAGTCTACCTAGGGGGAGGAGGTCCCAGGAGCGGGTGCAGAAAATCGTCGCCGGGTTTCGTAGCGAGACGCTGCAACGCCTCTCCGTCAATAAAGTGGAAGCGCGCGCGCGTGCGTGCGCGTGCAAAATCAATCAATAAATCACAGAGATCCCTCGTTCACATGACGAGAATGCTGAGAGAGAGAAAGGTGGGGGTGGGTGGGTGGCGGTGTTCCCTAGGGCCACTCGGCCGTAGAACGAGTGTCATGCGCGCTTGTGTCACATCTCCAAAGCATCAGCGAACACGGGGAGACAAAGGCGGCCCGGCGCCGTTGACTACTCGCCAGCCCGTCCACTCGCCCCGCGTCCCGACGCGTCATAGGTGCGACTCGCTTGGCAGCACTTGGCCCAAAGAGTCTGTTGAAGTGTCCACTGCGGGGGAGCTTTGTCTTTGTGATTGTTTACAATGTTATCAGCTTGCCTCGCGCCCTCTCCCCCCCCCACCTCCTTCCCACCCTTTGTTGTTGTTGTTGTTGTCGGTGTGCGCGTGGTGTTGTGTTCGGTGTGATGTTTGTGAGTGTGAGTGAGTAAGGGTGAGCGAGTGTAAGTGTGTGTAGGTGTGAGTGAGGGTGAGTGAGTGTGAATAAGTGAGTCTGAGTGTGAGTGAGCGTGAGGGAGTGTGAGTGAGTGAGTGTGAGTAAGTGTGTGTGAGTGTGAATAAGTGAGTCTGAGTGAGTGTGTGTGAGTGAGTGTGTGAGTGTGTGTGAGTGAGTGAGTGTGAGTGAGTGAGTGTGAGTCAGTGTGAGTCAGTGTAAGTGTGAGTGAGTGTGAGTACGTGTAAATGAGTGAGTGTGAGTGAGTGTGAGGGAGTGTGAGTGAGTGAGTGTGAGTGAGTGTGAGTCAGTGTAAGTGTGAGTGAGTGAGTGTGAGTGAGTGTGAGGGAGTGAGTGTGAGTGAGTGTGAGTGAGTGTGAGTGAGTGTGAATGAGTGAGTGTGAGTGAGTGTGAGTGAGGGAGTGTGAGTGAGTCAGTGAGTGTGTGTAAGTGTGAGTGAGTGAGAGTAAGTGTGAGTGAGTGAGTGTGAGTGAGTGTGAGTAAGTGTGAATGAGTGAGTGTGAGTGTGTGTGTGATTGAGTGAATGTGTGAGTGAGAGTGAGTGTGTGTGAGTGTGTGTAAGTGCGAGTGTAAGTGTGAGTCAGTGAGTGTGAGTCAGTGAGTGTGAGTGTGAGTCAGTGAGTGTGAGTGAGTAGCGGTTCACGCTACGCTGCGCTACGAACCCGGCTACGACCCGGGTTCAATTTCCACTCACGGCCAACATCGGTGACGATTATCTGAACCCGCTGCTGGGCCTCCCCGAGGTCGAAAGATCACCACTAGGGAGACAAAGGCGGCCGGGCGTGGTGCTAATCACCCACCCCCACGTGCGCTGTGCCGGCCTACATAGGTGGCTCGATAACAGCACTTGCCCCAACAGTCTGTTGAAGGCTATACGGGGGATCTTTTTCTTTGTGAAAGTGTGGGTGGGGAGGGGTGGGGAGCGGTGGGGAGGGGTGGGGAGGGGTGGGGAGGGGTGGGGAGCGGTGGGGAGCGGTGGTGTCTTGGTTAGCGCGCTGCGCTACGAACCCAGCGACCCGAGTTCGATTCCCGCTCACGGCTACCACACAGCGATGACGATTATCTGAACCGGTCCTGGGCCTCCCTTAGGTCTACTCAGTCCTCAAACGAGTACCTGATGCGGCGTGTAAACATCTCCACTGGGGAGACAAAGGCGGCCGGGCGTGGTGTTGGCCAGCCACCCCTTTCGTGCGCCGTGCACGCTAACATCACTTTCTCCAAAATTAAGTTAAGGCAATGCGGATAAAACATTTTTTTTTTGCCTTTTGAATTGTGAAAGTTTGTACGTGTGAGTGTTTTGCGAGTGTGATGCCGAGTACACCCCAACGCGCATCCACTGCACAACCGATGTCAGTAGACGCGGGATATTTCTGATGCACAACTGGACATTTAAAGCAACAACAAAAAAACCTCCCCAGTAGCAGTGGCGCGACTGCGGCTCATTCAGAACGCAGCGGAGAGCGACGCAATGCGCCTGAGCCACAAATACGAAGGAGACATCGCTGCTGCTACTGCTGCTGCTAGCGCGGATTAATAATAATAATCACGTGGACCTGGGTCACCTGCGCGTGAGATTTGTAGTCGTTGGCTCTGTATCGACATCAACGAGGAGGAAAGAAGAGGAAGAAGATTACCCCCCGCTCTCGAACGCTGGGGAGCCGGACAAGCCCCTCTCTGTACCAGCGTGGACGGCACACCCCCCCCCCCCCCCCTCGTGTTCACGTTCTGAAGCGCTCGCTCGTCGCCGTGACCACCACCACGTGACTTTTCTTTCGTGTTGTGCGCGATGACGACCACCACCACCATCATCACCACGTGACTTGTGCGCGGTGCATTTAGCGCCGCAGCGCGTGGATGTATAGCGTTTATTTGTGTTTGCTGGTGACTTTGTGTAGTTGTGTTGCTGGTGACTTTGTGTATTTGTGTTTGCTGGTGACTTTGTGTATTTCATATCGGAATCGCCTCCAGTGCTGTTGCTGCTGGCGGCAATAAAAGTTGTTTAAAAGTCAAAAGTCTCTCTCTCTGCTTCTCATCAAACGATCCCCCTTACTCCTCCTCCTCCCTCTTCTCCTCCTCCTCCTCCCTCTCCTGCTCCGCGTGTTGTTCCTTGAGCCCCGAGTCAACAGCAGACCGGGACTGTTTGCTCGCGGGAGAGTGGGGAAAGAGAGAGAGAGACGGGGAGAGAGAGGGGTGGGGGGAGAGGCCGTGAGTGTTTTGAGTGGTGCCTTGATAGCAGGGGGGAGGGGTAGGGGTCAAGGGGGGGGGGGACTACCCCGCCCCCTCCACCCCAGATTGATCGTTCACCGCAAATCGGGCAGCAGATGACACCTATTATTTTATTATTTCCTTCTACGTGACTTTACCGAAAGAACCAAGAATATCAATCCCTGTAGTCACGAAAGCTTTAAATAAAAAAATACCACCATCACCAATACCAACATCAACAATACCACCATCACCAATACCACCATCACCAATACCATCATCAACAATACCAACATCAATAATACCACCATCACCAATACCACCATCAACAATACCACCATCACCAATACGACCATCACCAATACCACCATCACCAATACCACCATCACCAATACTACCATCACCAATACCAACATCAATAATACCACCATCACCAATACCACCATCACCAATACCACCATCACCAATACTACCATCACCAATACCAACATCAATAATACCACCATCACCAATACCACCATCACTAATACCACCATCACCAATACCACCATCACCAACAGTGCCATCACGAACACCACCAGCACTATTCATTGCGCTAAACACCTTATCAGTGGCGTGCGGTAAAGTAAAGTGTAGGTGCTCCCCCCTACTCCCAAGACCTTCTGCCCAAAGAGGAAGAGTAGGCCAAATTACCCTCGAGAGAGAGAGGTAGAGCGGAGGGCCCTTCCGCCAGCAGTGGCGTGAGCAGGCACTTGCAGGGCTGAGCCTTCGCCTGGCACCTCGCCGGCCAAACTGTGACCCCTCAGGTATGGATGGACTCTCTAACTCCCTCCCTCCTTCCCATCCTGCCAGCGCTCTCATCCTCACCTCACCCCTCTCCTCCCTCCCTCCCTTCCCATCCATCTCACCTGTACGCACCCCCCCCCTCTCTCTCCTTCCTCCTCCCCTCACTCCACCCCCATTCGACCCCTTCGCCGTAGCTCAACCTGCACACCACACCCCATTCCCTTCCCTCACCTCCCCTCCCATGCATCCTCTCATCCTACCCTCGCTCTCCTCAGTCTCACCTGTACCTGCCCCCCCTCCCGCCCCATCTCACTCGTCCCTCCCCTCTGCCCTCCCTCCCCATCTCACCTGTCCACCAACCCCCCCCTCCCTCCCACGTCTCCCCCACCCCCCATCTCACCTGTGAGCGAGTGTCTTCAGACAGCGAGGAGGAAGACGCGGTCAGAAGAGATTGAGAGAGAGAGCGAGAGAGACTCAGCTACATTCGCGTCTTCTCCACCACTACCACCTCCTCCTCCGCCTCGTCCACCATCTCGTCCACCACCTCGTCCACCACGGATATACAACTTCAGTTCACCATCAATCTTTTTAGAGGGACCATCGTCCCAAACGACACATAGCATATGAGTATATTTATATTCCATTGAGGGCAGTGATCGGGACGAATCCCAGCGGCGCTTTGTCGCCGGAAAACATTCGCGCATTTACTTTTTGTTGTTTTCAATTGCACGTGGTTCTAAAAGTCACGCAAACATCGTAAGAGTATCTTTTGTTGCTTCACATACTCGGCTTCACAAGCTACCGCGAAGCGTACCTGTGAGATTTGAGCATCTTAACATCGGCGCGGTGAAGTTGATTTACTTTCAATTTCTTACTTAGATGTTTGATCTTTTTTTTTTAATCAGCCGCACATCTCTTCTGTAGTTGATCGTTTTTGTTTTGTTATTCGTTAAAAGTTGCAGGCGCAGTTGGGGTGTGAGTGGAAGGAGGGGTTTGAGGGGGGGGGGCCTCAGTTGTTAGTTTAACTTTACCTGGTGGGGGGCACACACCTGTCAGACCACACCGCCACCACCACCACCCTCTCAAGGTGGTTGTGGTGGTGGTGGTGATTGTGGTGGTGCAAGTGGCTCTGGAATACCATCCTCCTCCTCCTCCCAGCATCATCGTCACCTTCGCTTCTCTCCTCCCCAAGTTCCTGCAGAAATCACCTCGCTTAGTTCAAGAGACGTATCGATCTAACTAACTAACTACCGATTACGACTTTAATTGTGCTGTTTGTTACTGGCCGCTTGGCCATCTTTCGACATTAGGCCTGCGCTCTGCAACTGAGATATTTTATATATATGTGAAGTAGTAGTGGTGGTGGTTCGTGGTGGTAGTGGTTAGTGGTAGTGGTTAGTGGTAGTGGTTGGTGGTTCTGTGCGTGATCGTCGGGGTAGTGGTTCTGGTAGTCGTTTTAGTCGAGGTGGATTTCATTATGGTTGATGTAGGAGTAGAGGCTGCGTAGCTAGTCCTTGGTGGTGGTTGTGGTAGTCGAGGGGCAGCAGAGGAAGTGGTTGGTAGTGTCAGTCGAGGTTGTGTGTAACCGGTAGACAGATGCAGTGGGCTGTATTATAAGCAGACGTCGTTGAAGTGCTCGCGATAGAGCGGTAATTGTTGTGGTTTGTAATCATTGGTGTTGTTATTGTAGTCGCGATAAGTGTTGCGGTCGTACTGGTGGTGGCGGGTTGCCGAAGTAATAGCCATAGCTGAAGTGGTTGTTGTAGTGGTTGGTAGCTGCAGTGGTGGTGGTAGTAGCGGTAGCTCGTCTCGAGTCACGATGTTCCGCCCGGGCTCCCTGCTGATGCCCTACTCCCCAACACTTTTCCCGTCTCCCTTCGCGTCCACCTCGCTCTCGCCCGAGACGGCACAAGCTCTGGGATTCCTCGTGTCTCCACCACCGCACATCCACCACCACCACCACCATCCTCACCACGCACCTCACCACCCACATCATCCACACCATCCACACCATCATCACCACCACCATCAGCAGCAGCAGCTTCAGCAGCAGCAGCAGCATCCGCTGTGCGCGTACCAAGCAGTACTTGCTGGCTACGTACCGCCTGAGTCGTGTAAACAAGCCCTGTTACTCGCGTCTCAAGCGGCCGGCCTGCAGGGGGTGACGGACTACGGTGAGTGGGTGGGTGAGTGAGTCAGTGGGTGAGTTGGTGGGTAGGTGAGTGGGTGGGTGAGTGAGTGGGTGCGTGAGTTGGTGGGTAGGTGAGTGGGTGAGTGAGTGGGTGGGTGAGTGAGTGGATGGGTGGGTGGGTGAGTGAGTGGGTGGTTGGGTGAGTGGGTGAGTCAGTGGGTGAGTTGGTGGGTAGGTGAGTGGGTGGGTGAGTGGGTGAGTTGGTGGGTAGGTGAGTGGGTGGGTGAGTGAGTGGGTGCGTGAGTTGGTGGGTAGGTGAGTGGGTGGGTGAGTGAGTCAGTGGGTGAGTTGGTGGGTAGGTGAGTGAGTGGGTGCGTGAGTTGGTGGGTAGGTGAGTAGGTGAGTTGGTGGGTGGGTGAGCGGGTGAGTTAGTGTGTAAGTGGGTGAGTTGGTGGTTGAGTGGGTGAGTGAGCGGGTCATTTGGTGGGTATGTGTGTGGATGAATGGGTGGGTAGGAGAGTGGGTGGGTAGGTGATTGGGTGGGTGAGTGAGTGGGTTAGTGAGCGGTTGAGTGAAAGGGTGAGTGAGTGAGAGGGTGAGTGATGATAGTGATGAAATGATGACAGCGGTGGTGGATAATGTATTTCTGCTCTGTCTCTCAATGCTCGGTCACCGCCTATTGCTTTTCTTAAGTTAAGCCCGATCATCATAACTTTAACCACTGTTCAATACACTGCGCTGTGACCTATCGTAATACGGAATACATGTTTTTTCATTTTACCTTTGCCGATCATTACAACTTTTAAGTGGACTGCGCTGCATCAAATAGAATAACATAGCACGTCACGTGTGTGTGTGTTTATATAAATATCAGTACTGGGGAGACAAAGGCGGCCGTGCGTGGTGTTAGCCACCCACCCTATCGTGTGCCGTGCCGGCCTTCATAGGTGGTGCTACTCGCGAACAGCACTTGCCTCCAATAGACTCGCGAGGGCTATGGTTGGTGGAGGGGATCTTCGTCTCTTTTTGTTTACGTAGCGACGCGATTGATTGCACTTAGCGACCACGCATCACGTGGTGGCTTCTCGTCTCGAGACGGTATCGTCATGCCCTTTGATGTTGATGATGATGATGTTGTTGATGATGATGAGGTTGTTGTTTTTGTTTACGGTTCGCGAAGCCGCGATCATTATTTTTTACTGTCGTAAATTTATTTGAACAGCCTGCGCTCACAAGGTAACTGTGGGTTCTGTGAGTTTACGAGTGTCTGTGTGAGTCTGTGGGTCTCCATGTGAGTCTATGAGTCTCTGTGTGAGTCTGCGGGTCTCTGTGTGAGTCTGCGGGTCTCTGTGTGAGTCTGCGGGTCTCTATGTGAGAATAAGGGTCTCTATGTGAGTCTGGGGGTCTCTATGTGAGTCTGCGGGGCTCTATGTGAGTCTGTGGGTCTCTATGTGAGTTTGCGGGTCTCTATGTGAGTCTGCGGGTCTCTATGTGAGTCTGCGGGTCTCTATGTGAGTCTGCGGGGCTCTATGTAAGTCTATGGGTCTCTGTATGATGTAGGCATGCACCGTTAGCCCAAAGGATGCGATACTGAGCCCTTCACTTTGCCAATTTTTCCTGCACGGTATCCATGCCGGCAGCCCTCTACAATGAGATTATTTTGATGATTTTGTCCAAATGAAAAGCCACTTAATTGAGCTATCACTTGTGATGGACCAGGTCGCTTCTTTAAAAAATAAAGTCAATACATCAGTTGTGCTTTGCCCGTTCGTATGGGGATGGTTGAGTTGTTGTGTTTGTTTGTATATGGGTGATTTGTTGACCTTTCTTGAACTTTGCACTCGTATCGTGTGTTTGTGTTGTTGTTGTTGGAACCTTCTTACCCCGTACCCCTGCTGGACATCTGTGGTAAAAAGAGCTTTATAGCTCATCGGATTCCTCCTGTATAAATAACGATGCTGCCTATAAATTTGCTGCTGAGTACACGCCGATCTGTCCGATAGTATTCCAATGTTTATACATTGGGGGGGGGGGGGGGGGGGGGGGATAGGGGGGTTGGGATTTTTGCATCGTTGTGAATTTCTTTATTGGATCAATATTCCTCCTCTCTTTGCAGTAGGTTTCTAAAAAGGATATATTTTGTATAGTATTTAAATTGTGTAGTATTTATATTGTAGAGTATTTATAGTGTATAGTATTTATATTTTTAAAAATATTTATATGTATAGTATGTATATTGTATAGTATTTATATTTTATAATATTTATATTCATATTCTTAGTTTTTTCGGTAAAGTCACGTTGAAGAGAAACAACAAAATAACAAAATATATATAAAACAATAAAAAATTCTCACGACGTTTCGACCATAACTCAAACGGTCATCATCAGGTGTGTCGGTTTGCTGATGATGACCGTTTGAGTTATGGTCGAAACGTCGTGAGAATTTTTTATTGTTTTATATATATTTTCTTATTTTGTTGTTTCTCTTCAACGTGACTTTACCGAAAAAACTAAGAATATGAATTACTGCAGTCACGAAAGCTTTAAATCAAAATTTAATATTTATATTGTATAGTATTTATACTGTATAGTTATTTATATTGTATAGTATTTATATTGTATATTTATTTATATTTATAGTATTTATGTTGTATAGTATTCATAATTTATAGTATTGTATAGCATTAATATGTTATAGTATTTATATTGCATAATATTCATATTGTATAGTATTTATATTGTTTAGTATTTATTTTGTATAGTATTTACATTATATAGTATATATATATTTCTTAACTTTGTGCGTGACGCACTGAGATCCCTGTGGATGATTTGCGTCTTACAAATGTAAAATATTACTATGAGTTTGTATTTTATGACATGATATATTATTATTCTTCTATGATATTTCTCCCCGCTTGTTTATTTTTCTTCGTCCCTCGACCTTGCTGCTGTTTGAGCCACCCAACTTTACTGAATTAGTTTGTTGTTGTTGTTATTAAAAAAAAATCACGGTCCGCAATTTGAGAATTCTGGGGCTGATCCTCGCCCCCTCTCCCCCACCAATATATAACGAACGCTTCCGAGAGAGAACCGTCAACCGTGAAGACGGAACCACCAAATCAGCTCGTGCGTCCAGCTGGTGCTAGGCGGATCGTTGCCCTGCAGGGCCGTGTTTAGTTTCGTTTGCTGTCCTTCCCCTGTCCCCGCGCCTCCGATGAGCACGGTTGGCTACGTACGGTGCGAAAGAAGTTCAACGCACATACACGTGCGTAACATATGGCGTACGGCTCGGGGGGAGGGAGGCCTTCATCCAGCAGTGGATTGACCATGGCTTGCTGCTGATGAACTTATGTACGGACGGCCGATATGTCGATCGACTATAATTAATGACTCTATTCGCATGTCATCAACTGGCTAACAATGAGCGTGGGAGAGAACCGGAGACCCACCCACGGCGAGGGGACACTAAACGCTCCGCACAGATAGATTCAACAATCCATCGCTTTACAGTACTGCTATCTGCCTCTCTCTCTCTCCTCGTATCCCAAGCCCATAGCACCTGGTATTCCCAGTCCAGTCTCCCATCCAGCAGTGGATTGACCATGGCCGCTACGGCTGCTGACGTTGATGATCAAGGTGGAACGCGCTTTCGCTAAGTGTACGGTTGAACTTCTTTCGCACCGTACGTAGTGGCCAACCGTGATTATCGGAGGTGCGGGGATGGAGGAGTTGGGGGGGGGGCGAGAAGGCCAACAAACTAACCACACAAAAAGCAGTTCTAAGGAAATGAGTTCGTCCATCTAGACGATTTAAAAGTGCAATGGAGCTCTTTAGTGGCTTCCTAACATCGGAGTCAAGAGCGTTCCAGACGGCCGCAGAAGCAGCGTCTGAGAGCGGCGCTGGGATGCGGTCACCGCTCGCATTTGTTCGATGGTCATCCCAAACGCCGCTGTGACAGCTATCGGGTTTAATTGATTTGCCAATTAACGACGGGCACTTGGATAACGAATTCAATTGATTGTGCAGCCCTTCGCCGCCACCCCACCCTACTCCAGCCGTCTTGTGAATCCACTGCTGGATGAAGGCTTCGTCACTCACGCCGCGTCGGCCCGTGGACGGTTGTTTGACCATACTTCACCGCGCCGGTCACGGCTTGCCGGTGAAGTGGAAGGAGGAGGAGGAGGAATGAAACTGCTGTGGACCGGTTCGGATTTCAGTTTTCAGTTTCATTTATTTTGGTATGGCCCCGTGAGCCATTCTGCTCTTGAATCATCGGGTGCAACCGCAACAAACAAACAAAAACAAAAACACGAACAAGAAAAAACATCTTGAAGTGACTATGTGTTGACTGTGCAAACAGAAAATCCAGGAAAAAAAAAACAGCAAAATATTCCTGAAAAAGCACCGTACACCAACGCTGTGTGCAAATGGCACACGACGTTTCGATTGCAACACAAGCAATCATCATCAGGTACAAATGAAAGAGAAAACAAACCAAGTAAACGTAGAAATGTAATGCAATACAACACAGAGAGTCGGCTAACGTAACAGTCAACACCCCACCTGGTTGATTACGTTCTTCCAAAGATTGCTAAATTTGAGAGAGAGAGACAACACACAGACACGGAGACACATAGACAGAGAGAGATAACACAGACACACACAGAGAGAGATAACACAGAGACACACAGAGAGATAACACAGAGACACACAGAGAGAGATAACACAGAGACACACACACAGAGAGATACACACAGAGACACACAGAGAGAGATACACACAGAGACACACACATAGAGAGATACACACAGAGACACACAGAGAAAGATACACACAGAGACACACAGAGAGATACACACAGAGACACACAGAGAGAGATACACACAGAGACACAGAGAGAGATAACACAGACACACAGAGAGAGATAACACAGAGACACACACACACAGAGACAACACAGAGACACACAGAGAGAGATAACACAGAGACACACAGAGAGAGATACACACAGAGACACACAGAGAGAGATACACACAGA